TATTTGGTTGATTGTTTATGATATTGAGCAAACTGAGGGTAGTGGTAAGAGGACATTTCAAACTAAGTGAAAGTATTTAGAATTTAAAGATAAACAGGAATGATTACTAAAGAGGTTTTTAACCTTTTTACAAGATAGGGAGAAGGCCTTATCTGGGAATAAACTTTGCTAATACGAAGGTTTCTGAGATCTTATTTGAGATATCTGGGAATTTTTCATCTTTACAGATGCTGACGCCGTTCTTTTGGATCTCTTGGGTACCTTCGTGCTACTTGATGGTGGATCGGAGAAGGTCCTTTTCACTAAACACGTACGACAGGTGAAAATTTTCTTACAACTACTTAAATGGTGGAACTTCAAAATTTTAAAGCTTTTGAACATTATTTGCAAAGCCTTAGTAATAAAAGAATTGTCAATTTAATCAGCAAATGGATCATGAATGTTGCGAAATCTTCATAAAAAATGGATTACTTAAAAACTTCCTGAAAGGTTTGTAATTTGTATTTTTTTCATTTTTACGAACTCTTTTAATATTTTTTCCATTAACCTCTGAGGATAACCGAGAAAAACCGAAACCATGTGTTACGTTTTCATAAGGCTTTCTGCTTATTACACCTTTTTATTAGACATATCTTGGACATCTATCGTTTTTTTTTTAGAAAAAAATATGTTCAGATTGACGCTAACGTCATCAGCGCTCCGACAAAAGCTGCACTCACTAATGCTGTGGAACTCAACAAGGTTGGTTAACTATACCTGAAAGTGTTCCAGTGATGCTTAAAAATAACATCTGATAATCGTTTCTAGGAGACAATCGTACCACTTGTGGGTAATTTTCCTAATGTGAAGACATCTGGTTCTGATGATTCTGTCGCTGGCCTTCTTAAATGCATAGAAAAGGCTTCTGAAGGCCGTCCAGCAGTAACGCCGACGAAATTCCATCCAAAATATGAGCCTATCGTCATCAGTAAGGTATGTTTTGCACTTATATTATCAAAGTTAACATCACATTTTTAATTTGAAAGGATAATTGAAGTTAAATAAAGTATTTAATGTAAGTTTTGGATTAAATTCTTTTGAATAATAATTATTCCAAGTATTAATATTTGTTCCGCTAGCTTTTATTAATTTTTAATAAAATTTTTTAAAATTCATCCTTTTAGTCGCTTCGTACCGGTCGTCTCGAACTCATTGTTCTGGCGGGAGAAACCAAGGAGATCGAAGCCCTCCAAAAGGCGGTGGAAACTGGCGACGAAAAAATCATCGAAAAGGTTTCGGGAACATAAGAATTGCTCATCTTAGAAATTGTTTATTATGATTCCAGGCCGCTGCTAACCATGGGACCATTTCGGTGTTGGTGTGGTTCCCAGCGAAAGGAACGGATCCAATCA